AATTTCTTTCTCGAGCTATTCTAGTTGGTTTATTTAAATTTCTTTCACGAGCTTTTATAAGCGTAATATTTGTTTCAATTTATTACACTAGCTAAAAATTACATAATTATATAATGTAAAATTATTCTAAAAGATCATCTGGTGAAAGCAAAGCCAATTTTATTTCAAAATGAAAATGAGATTTTTCAAGAAAAGAAAATTGTTTGGAATTCTGTAGTATATTTTATTTTTTAAGATGGCTGTTATGCATTTTGCTCTTACATTAAATTTTAAATTTTATTGGTAACATGCGTAACGAGCCAGTTGATTATTGTTTTTCTTAATTTTTTTAAAGGTTTGGTTGTTTTCCTACTTAAAAACAGCAAATACAAATAATAAAAAGGACAATACTTACAAATTAGTAGCTAAAGAAACTAAAATCCACGCCTGACTTTGGATGTCAATATCCATTATTTACAAAACCGAAAGGAATCGAACTTCAGTTTAAAAAAAAAGAATCTTTTCGATTCCAATCCTAGTTCAATATTTTTCTTTGACGTAGAAAGGGTAAATAATTATCCACGTAAAGAAAATAAAAAGTCTCGAAACCTTATTTACTGTTCTGCTTCTTTTAAAACTTGAAAAATATCAAGGAAAATATGAGTGTATTTCTTTTCTTCGTTTTATTTGTTCTCACTTAAGGAAGCTGTCGACTGTATTAAGATCAGTGAGGGTTTAAACGAAAATATATTCTGGTGACAGAGTCTCGATCTATCACATTTTATTGGCATCTCAACATGCTTTGAAATAAAACGACAAATTGGACATTTGTTATTGCCTTGTGATTTATTTTTCTGGTGGATACAGGATCTTCGAGGGCTGATATACTGACCTGCACTTTCCCATGTTTTGTTGTTGACTGTGAGATTTATCTTGGCTTTTCCACAGGTCAAAAATGTAATCAAAATCTCGATTTTCCCCGCACCAATTAATCAGACAAAAGAAATAATTTCTATTTCTGTTTTTAATGAATAAGTAAACAATTTTCTTTTTAATACTAAATTAAAATTTCCATTTCCTTTTTTGATGAATAGGTAAACAATTTTCTTTTTAATACTAAATTAAAATTTCTCCATTTTCTTTTTTGATGAATAGGTAAACAATTTTCTCTTTAATACCAAATTAAAATTTCCATTTCCTTTTTTTGATAAATAGGTAAACAATTTTCTTTAATACCAAATTAACATTTGCATTTCCTTTTTTGACGAATAGGTAAACAATTTTCTTTTCAATAATAAATTAAAATTTCTATTTTCTTTTTTTGATGAATAGGTAAATAATTTTATTTTTAATACTAAATTAAAATTTAAATTTCCTTTTTGATGAATAGGTTAACAATTTTATTTTTAATACTAAATTAAAATTTCCATTTCCTTTTTGATGAATAGGTTAACAATTTTATTTTTAATAATACTAAATTAAAATTTCCATTTCCTTTTTTTTGATGAATAGGTAAACAATTTTCTTTTTAATACTAAATTAAAATTTCTCCATTTTCTTTTTGATGAATAGGTAAACAATTTTCTCTTTAATACCAAATTAAAATTTCCATTTCCTTTTTTTGATAAATAGGTAAACAATTTTCTCTTTAATACCAAATTAACATTTCCATTTCTTTTTTGACGAATAGGTAAACAATTTTCTTTTCAATAATAAATTAAAATTTCTATTTTCTTTTTTGATGAATAGGTAAATAATTTTATTTTTAATACTAAATTAAAATTTCCATTTCCTTTTTTGATGAATAGGTTAACAATTTTATTTTTAATACTAAATTAAAATTTCCATTTCCTTTTTTGATGAATAGGTTAACAATTTTATTTTTAATTATTCTAAATTAAAATGTCCATTTCCTTTTTTGATGAATAGGTAAACAATTTTCTTTTTAATACTAAATTAAAATTTCTCCATTTTCTTTTTTGATGAATAGGTAAACAATTTTTCTTTAATACCAAATTAAAATTTCCATTTCCTTTTTGCTAAATAGGTAAACAATTTTCTCTTTAATACCAAATTAACATTTCCATTTCCTTTTTTGACGAATAGGTAAACAATTTTCTTTTCAATAATAAATTAAAATTTCTATTTTCTTTTTTGATGAATAGGTAAATAATTTTATTTTTAATACTAAATTAAAATTTCCATTTCCTTTTTTGATGAATAGGTTAACAATTTTATTTTTAATACTAAATTAAAATTTCCATTTCCTTTTTTGATAAATAGGTAAACAATTTTCTCTTTAATACCAAATTAACATTTCCATTTCCTTTTTTGACGAATAGGTAAACAATTTTCTTTTCAATAATAAATTAAAATTTCTTTTTTCTTTTTTGATGAATAGGTAAATAATTTTATTTTTAATACTAAATTAAAATTTCCATTTCCTTTTTTGATGAATAGGTTAACAATTTTATTTTTAATACTAAATTAAAATTTCCATTTCTTTTTTGATGAATAGGTTAACAATTTTATTTTTAATAATACTAAATTAAAATTTCCATTTCCTTTTTTGATGAATAGGTAAACAATTTTCTTTTAATACTAAATTAAAATTTCTCCATTTTCTTTTTTGATGAATAGGTAAACAATTTTCTCTTTAATACCAAATTAAAATTTCCATTTCCTTTTTTGACGAATAGGTAAACAATTTTCTTTTCAATAATAAATTAAAATTTCTATTTTCTTTTTTGATGAATAGGTAAATAATTTTATTTTTAATACTAAATTAAAATTTCCATTTCCTTTTTTGATGAATAGGTTAACAATTTTATTTTTAATACTAAATTAAAATTTCCATTTCCTTTTTTGATGAATAGGTTAACAATTTTATTTTTAATTATTCTAAATTAAAATTTCCATTTCCTTTTTTGATGAATAGGTAAACAATTTTCTTTTTAATACTAAATTAAAATTTCTCCATTTTCTTTTTTGATGAATAGGTAAACAATTTTCTCTTTAATACCAAATTAAAATTTCCATTTCCTTTTTTGATAAATAGGTAAACAATTTTCTCTTTAATACCAAATTAACATTTCCATTTCCTTTTTTGACGAATAGGTAAACAATTTTCTTTTCAATAATAAATTAAAATTTCTATTTTCTTTTTTGATGAATAGGTAAATAATTTTATTTTTAATACTAAATTAAAATTTCCATTTCCTTTTTTTGATGAATAGGTTAACAATTTTATTTTTAATACTAAATTAAAATTTCCATTTCCTTTTTTGATGAACAGGTTAACAATTTTATTTTTAATAATACTAAATTAAAATTTCCATTTCCTTTTTTGATGAATAGGTAAACAATTTTCTTTTTTAATACTAAATTAAAATTTCTCCATTTTCTTTTTTTTTTGATGAATAGGTAAACAATTTTCTCTTTAATACCAAATTAAAATTTCCATTTCCTTTTTTGATAAATAGGTAAACAATTTTCTCTTTAATACCAAATTAACATTTCCATTTCCTTTTTTGACGAATAGGTAAACAATTTTCTTTTCAATAATAAATTAAAATTTCTATTTTCTTTTTTTGATGAATAGGTAAATAATTTTATTTTTAATACTAAATTAAAATTTCCATTTCCTTTTTTGATGAATAGGTTAACAATTTTATTTTTAATACTAAATTAAAATTTACATTTCCTTTTTTGATGAATAGGTTAACAATTTTATTTTTAATAATACTAAATTAAAATTTCCATTTCCTTTTTTGATGAATAGGTAAACAATTTTCTTTTTAATACTAAATTAAAATTTCTCCATTTTCTTTTTTGATGAATAGGTAAACAATTTTCTCTTTAATACCAAATTAAAATTTCCATTTCCTTTTTTGATAAATAGGTAAACAATTTTCTCTTTAATACCAAATTAACATTTCCATTTCCTTTTTTGACGAATAGGTAAACAATTTTCTTTTCAATAATAAATTAAAATTTCTATTTTCTTTTTTGATGAATAGGTAAATAATTTTATTTTTAATACTAAATTAAAATTTCCATTTCCTTTTTTGATGAATAGGTTAACAATTTTATTTTTAATAATACTAAATTAAAATTTCCATTTCCTTTTTTGTTGAATAGGTAAACAATTTTCTTTTTAATACTAAATTAAAATTTCTCCATTTTCTTTTTGATGAATAGGTAAACAATTTTCTCTTTAATACCAAATTAAAATTTCCATTTCCTTTTTTGATAAATAGGCAAACAATTTTCTCTTTAATACCAAATTAACATTTCCATTTCCTTTTTGACGAATAGGTAAACAATTTTCTTTTCAATAATAAATTAAAATTTCTATTTTCTTTTTTGATGAATAGGTAAATAATTTTATTTTTAATAATACTAAATTAAAATTTCCATTACCTTTTTTAATGAAGAGTTAATCCTTTTTCTTTTTAATGCTAAATTAAAATTACTTCCTTTTTTTGATGAATAGGTCAACAATTTTCTTTTTAATACTAAATTATAATTACCATTTCCTTTTTTTTTTTTTTTTTATGAATAGGTAAAAATTTTCTTTTTAATACTAAATTAAATTTCAATTTTCTTTTTGATGAATTGGTAAGCAATTTTGCTTTTCCGTGTAGATTATGAATAATCTCCTATTTATTATTTTTTTTGTTGTTTTAAAGTAAAAAAAAGACTCGTAACCCATATATAACTACTAGAGTGAAGGTGGGCTAAGGTTCATATCCGCTGCTGGCGTCCGTTATTGTTATTGCTTTCATAAATAAGGAAACTTGATGGTAATTGTGACAGCGGTTTGCATCAGATTTGGTTTGGTTTGTCGCTCTACAGTCATTTTATGCACACTGTAGGCTAATTAGACCGGGATCCACAGTTTAACGTGGATTCCGAACCACTCACAAACATCCATGCCACACCAGGAATCGAATCAGAAGCATGTGGCACCAGAGCGCTAGCCAATTGGCCATCAGGCAGCAGCAAAATTTTGAATCGCAACGACACGCGGTGTTCGCAGGTGGTCACCCTCCCAAGTACTGACCGCGCCAGATGTTGCTTGACTTCGGTGATCGAACGAGTTCACATCAGAATTCAAGCTGTATAGTGGGAGTATTCCGGATTTATTATTGCTTTTCGTATGGATTTCACGCATATGAAACGCAAATGTGGAGGTAAACGTGGAAATAAAATATTGTTAATATATTCAGCAAAAAAGAAATGGAATTTTTTTTTGTCTGATGAAATGTAAAAAAGAACTAGATTTTAATCCTGTAAAATCACCAAAAAGAAAATTGTGATGGAAATATTAAAGAAGGAAATTAAAAATTTAAAGAGTATGTATGCTACTTAAAAATTAGCTTGAGTAAATTAACTTAACTTAATATTTTAAAGAGGTGGAGATATGTGAATAGTGTTACTTTTGTTGAAGTTGATGGTAAGTGAATATGTTACTTATGATGAAGGTGGCGGTAAGTGAATATTTTACTTACGATAAAAGGGGACAAATTGAATATGTTACTTTCGATGAAGATGATGGTAAGTGAATATGTTATTTACTATGAAGGTAGTGGTAAGTGAATATGTTACTTTCGATGAAGGTGATGGTAAGTGAATATGTTATTTACTATGAAGATGGTGGTAAGTGAATATGTTACTTTCGATGAAGGTGATGGTAAGTGAATATGTAACTTACGATGAAAGTGGTGGTAAGTGAATATGTAAATTATTTGCCACTTTCAGTATTAATTATATATGTACACAATCGAAAATTATAGAAAATGTTGTAATAATACAAAATCAAAAAAAGTTAATGGACAATGGGATTTTTCAAAAGCACAGTCAGTTTGTATAAAAATCTAAAGTCTCTTGATAATTTAAGTATAACAATCACTATATATAAACTATAAAAACGTCTCTAAATCAGTTAGTTACTTATATAAATTGTTTTTAACAAAAATATATGTTTGTTAACAATTATCTTTGACTACAAATTTCATAAAAGAGTCGAAAATCAGTTGTCAAATTATACGTGAAAACAACTATGACTTGATTTACGAACTTATTGATTTTAATTTTATAATATATTTAATGGTAAATCTGTTAATTTGCTTTATTTTTTTTTTTTAAATAAATTTTATATGGTTAGCTCTACGTTAAATTTTATAATGACTAGGTTTTATCGACAATATTTTATTCATATTCAGTTACTTAAAATAAAATAATTTTTTGGAAGACTGGGTTTCATTTAGATGCTTATTAAATCTCATAAAAATCATTAATATCGGATTACACTTAAGTTAGGTCATTCTAGTAAGATAAATTCTCTTTTTTACTTTTATTGTTTATTTGATCAGAAATATCTTCCCTTATTTTTAAAGTAATCCATCCTAGTTTTATCCAAGCCAAAATATTAATCATGTTTAAGATTTAAAATGCGGAAAAATGAATTGCTTATCATGTGTTACTTAAAAGACTATTAAATATTTTTCATACGTAAAAAAGGGTAAAAAAATAAAGTACAAAACAGTTAAATACATCCATTATTCAAGGTTGAGGAAGTCGAATAATTTTTCAAATCCTTCATATCAATAAATAAAAGTGATATACTATACGAAAGGCACAAACGTGAGATACATTTCATTTTATAACATATAACAAAAATTTGAAATTATAACATAGAACACATATACATAAATGTGTATACATTACATACACGCATGTGTCATATATACGAATGCTTTACACATAATACATGTATATATACAAACAAACATACAAATTTGCAGGCATTATGCGTAAATCCGTACATATAGAAATACAAACATATAGAATTACACATACATACATACATACATAAAACAAACATACACATTACATACACGTATACATTATATATAAACACATATGCGCATGCAGGTATATGTTAATATGTGCTTCATGAAATAACAGATGAAAGTATTTTAACCTGTTGCATTTATATAGAGGTCTATGCTCACACCCGTAAATGATTTCAAACATACACATGCATATATATCTTCATGTACATACATATGTACACGCAGTAGAGTTTAAATAAAATCCTATTTTTCAGAGGGGTGAATTTGAAATGCAAAAAAGATGAATCTGAAATGAAAAAAGTGTAATTTTATTTGCAAAATTATGATTTAGACTGACAAACCTGTACGAAAAAAAAAAAATTTAAATCTAAATATATTAATAATATTTTCAAAGAGATGACTGTATTGACAATTAAAAAAGCATTTTTAATTATGCCTGTGTCGTTTTAAGGACATCTCGATTTATTTAGGAATTTATGTGCATTTATGTCATTTTGTATAAAGCTTAAATAGCTTATTAATTATGATATATTCGACCCTTGTTTAACCGCCAAACCGTCATCAAAGTGAAATTACGAATCTTCTAATCATAGAAGAAACGTATTAATTCCCGCTGTAATTCCCTCGTTGCTCTCCAATTGCCATTGACTTCGTAGAATAACAGTATCAATCGATATAGAAACCTATTTACTTAAGTCGCCATAAAATTCAACCCTTCATTTTGACATTAGCTTCGTCTTTAGGCTTATCGTTAAGTTAAATGGATGATTCAGAATAATGATTCAGGATTCATGATTCATGATTCATGCATGATTCATGATTCATGTAAGTCTCTAAAGCTAATCAACAATTTACGTAATATTGTGATTCCAAAACGGAAAAGAACAAAAAGTGTTGTTATGTGTTCCGATTTTTTCTTAAGCGATGGAGAATGGAGGTGGGGGGGAAGGGGAGGTAATTTCTATTTAGCCAAAACTACACAAAAATTCAGAAGTCCATATGTTAAAACTATAAATTTAATGCCTTCAAAGATAATTTAATACATAAATTTGCTGTTGTAATTAATTGGAATTTGCAATTCATGCATCCGGAAGGCATTCTTCTTCTTCATTGACGTAACAGCCCCATTGTGTGGCAGGACTATCTGCCTGCCGGCAGATTTCGAGATAGGAGATGTTTTTTTACGGGATAGGATTGTCAGCCCTGTAGTCATATTAGACCGGGACCTACGATTTAAAGTGGATTCCGAACCACTACAAACATCCGTGGAACCGCCGGGACGCGAATCCGAAGCCCGCGCACATCCAGCACCAGAGCGCTAGTCACTCTGCCATCAGGTCCTACCCGGAAGGTATGCTATATTGCTTTCATGTGTCATCTAAGTCATCATATTAGATTTCTTTTTGAGATATCAGAAAAGCATTTCATTTTAAGAAATCCAGCTGTGGCACCGTCGGAACTCGAACCCGAAACTTGTGGCACAGAGTGCCAGAGCATTAGACACTCGGCCATTCAGGCCCTCATTAGACAATAGCAGTCTAATAAGAATCGACTAATTACACGGTCGGTCAGTATATGAATATACAATGACATTAATAATACCACCTATTGGTGATAGTTTCAACTAAAATTTATCCTTATTTCCCTCCTTCGTAAAATAATGGGCTTTGCGGCAAATGTTTGTGCGCAAACTATATTCTCATAAGCCTCTTTGTTGTTTTTATATGAATCTTTAAGATGTGTGCAAGTTTAAAATCACATAAACCTGGTATCCTTTACAAGTTACATTGACTTTTAATTGTATAGCATAAGCATTGTCACTATATTTCTCTCATTTCACATAATCCTGGTATACATTATAAATTGCATTAGCTTTTAGTTGTATAGTAAAGCATTTTAGTCAATACAGTTTTATCATTTCATATAATCCCGGTATCTTTTATAAGTTGCCTTATCTTTTAATTGTATAGTATAAGCATTTTAGTCAATATATTTCTATCATTCCATTGATAGCATATGTGCAACTGTTATATTACATCATTATCATATTGTTATAATTACAATGAAATTACTAAATTAGCGCTCTAGCGCTCGGTGTCCAAGTTTTAGAGTTCAAGTCCTGGCGGTTCTATGGATGTTTGTAGTGGTTGGAAATCCACTTTAAACCGTAGGTCCCTGTCTAATATAACTAAAAAGCGTTGAATGTAAGGCTGATAATACTACCCAGTAAAAAGAAAACAACTCTTGTCTTAAATCATTCAATAAGGAGACGGCCTAGGCCCGCCGCGAGGCTGTTGCCATAATAAAAAAGAAGAACTTACTAGAAATAAAAAAAATTCCAAAATATTTCTTTACATTATTGTGCAAGAAAAAATGCTTTTATTCAACAGATTTAAATTAGCTTTCCCTTTACTTTGATTTAAAAAACATCAGATTTCTAAGTAAAATATGCAAGTTAATAAAAAGCGACAAATTAGATTTTCTTTTTATTTTTTAGTGTTACACTTTGGAGTCATACAATATATTTTATCTAATCTATTTTACTGAAAGCCCTTAAAATTTGATTAAATAAAATTTGCGAACATTCCCGATTTTTTTTCCTCTTTCTTCAATAAAAATATTTCTTTTAAAATAATCATAGACCAACGAAGTGTTTTTATTTTCGACAAAAATTTTAATGCATATTTAGTCTTCGGTGTTTCGTAGATCTTCTAAAAATCCTACGTGAATACAGAGGAAAAGATTAGATTAGCTCAAAAAAGATGAGAGTTCTGAAATTCAAAATTGGTTACTTATTTGAATAAAAGTAGCGTAAAGTTTTGATATTTTATCAACTCATACTATTATTAATGTTTTTTTTAAAGAAATGTGCATATTTTCTACAGACATTCAGTATTTTTTAAATTTAAATGAGCCTTACTTTAATATCCACAGTGGCTTTAATTTAAACACACACATTGCACTTTTTCAATGAATAATGCTAATACTCCAGGTACAATAAGCGATGATGGTGAATGCTGTGTTACTGATGTTATTTGTGAAATAAAATTGGCTTCATTTTCTTTTTCTTCTTCATAGTATTGAGTTCTGGCATTGATATTTCTTCTTCTTCATAGTATTGTGTTTTGCCTTTGATATTTTCTTCTTCTTCATAGTATTAAGTTTTGGCTTTGATATTTCTTATTCTTATTTGTAGTGCGTTTTGGCTTTGGTATTTCGTATTCTTCATAGAATTAAGTTTTGGCT